CCATTTTTCGGGGTTTGGTTCTGGAAATTGCTTGTTTTGTCAGGGTAAATTTTTTCGAAGGCTGAAAGTTCCCAGGCTTGACATGTTCATGTTGAACATTTGCAATTTTTTAGGGTGGGTTCAATTTTGACCTAGCACACTGTGTTAGACAGAACCTTGACTTGTTTCTTTCAATGTTTTCATGGTATACAAATAATAGTACAACTATTTAAAAAAAACACAGCCTATGGTGGTGCTGGCGCTGCCTTTTGTGTTGACTTACTGCCGCATTCTACTGATGCTGCCACTCTTAACGCTAGAACTCTTTCTGCTTTTCCCTAACTGCTTGAATCGAAGTGGTGCTGCTGCCGTTCTTGCTGCCACTGCCGTACCAACCGCTCCAAGTGCTGCCGCTGCTGCTGCCACTATTGCTGCTACTGCTCTGCCTGCTGCTCCCAACTGCTCCATGTGCTGCCGCTGCTGCTGCCGATGTTGCTGTTGCTGCTGCCGCTGCTGCTGCTGGTGGTCCACCTGCTACTCCTCGTCTTCGTCCGACTCACTCCCACTGCTGCTGCACTCCTCACCCTCTGCATACCACACATCCTCATCGTCCTCTCCTCCACCAACACCCCCTCGTCTCCCCTCCTCGCCTTCCTCTTCGTTCTCCTCCTCCAGCTCCTCTTCCACCTCCTCCTCTGGCTCCTCATCCAACTCCTCCCCTGGCCCCTCTACCACCTTTTCTTTCCCCTTCAAGCTCTTCACCTGACCTCGGGGGCAGATGCGGGCAGAAAACTGCTTCCTCTTTGTCACAGGATCAAATGTGTCGAGGAAAGGTTGCACTATCGATCAGTACAAGGCGCTTTTATACTTCCAGAGTACATCAGGTAACCAGGTTTATCTTATCCTAGGGGAATAGACCCTTCTAGAAGATAGAATCACCCTGCGTATAGCCACGCGAGGCTATTGGCTTTAAGGGATTACAGCAGGATTACGCTAGATAGAGCGCACCAGTACATCCCAAGCCTGGTCGGTGATATAATTATAATAGCAGGATAAACCAAAGGTTAATGGAAAAGGAAGAATAGGAAACCAAATGAGATGGAATAAGAGAGAAATGAAAAAGGAAGGAAATAAGAAAAGGCCAAGTGGTGTAACGAGGTCGTACTCTCACACTCTTCTTCCCTCGAAACACCTTCACCACCTCCTCCCAGTCAGGCTCGTAGTCGAGCAACACCATGCTCATGAGGTTTACGAGCGTGGCGTTGCCTAGGCTGCCTTGGCACCAGCTCTTGATGATGTTCTGCCGACTGAAGCCGCGCTCGAACTCCACCGTAGACAGTGGCAGCACTGCGACCGTGACCCACAGGCGGCCCAGGTTTGGGTTAGCCTTTGTCCAGTCATCCGACTTCAGCATCGCTGCCAGCCCCTCGTAGAACTTCCGCTCCCCCACGGGAGCATCTTTCAGCAAGGAGATGAGAGTCTGCAGCTCCGTGGTTGCTGCCCTCTTGTCAACACCTGCACTTGGACACAGTATTGGAGGGCGCAAGGGGAGGAGAATGAGTGGTGTACTTGAAGACTGTTAGTATGGGGACTAGGATGACACACGGGCAAGATGCATGGCTACAGTTGGGTTCATGCACAGTTAGCAACAGCTTACCTGGCAGAACCTCCCGATGCCTGGCTACGTGGAAGAGGTCAAACAAGCTCTTTAGCCAGTCCATGCACTGGCTGTTCCGCTCCTTCCTCCCTGGTGGCCATGTTTCCGGGATGAAAAGCCTGCAGCCATTGAGCTTCTCCAGGTCGCCCAGCCGCTCAACGATGTTCCGTTCGATCGCCTTGGCAAACCACATGCAGATGTTGCTGCACTCGTCGTGGTCCTCGTCAGGGCGCTCGGCGTGCATGCCAAACTTGTGCACGATTGATAAGCCATCGGACTTGAATCCCTCAATGGTGACGGCGCATGTTGAGTTTGTTGAGGTTGTTCAGTAAGGCAAGCATGTTAGCTTTTCACAATGTTATACATCTCCTGGTTATATTCAAGAAGCAGAATGACCACAGCTGGTAGCACATCGACGAGGCGGGCGATAGCCAGTGTACATTGAAAATACCCTACATCTCGAGGTTCGTCTGGGTGACGACGTCTTGGAGGTTTTTGGAGCGCGCGTGCCAGTTTCCAGAGCAACCTAGCAGCTCAGCAACGGTTCGGATGAGCTTGTCAACCACTGCTACAGTAGCTCTGGAACGGCGGTTGCAACATCCTTTGCAGCGAGGGCCTCCCTACGTACACAGCAGAAACAACAAAAGCATGAGCGCTGTGATCAAACACTGCCTGGAGAGGCACAGCGAGTACAGGCACCTGAGTCGTCAGAAGTCATGGTCGGGTAAGGGGAAGTGAGAGGCAAACACATGCAGTGTGGCTCACCTGTGAGCTATGCAATGGCAGGACACCAGCCACGGTGACATGGCACGCATGCGAGTGACGAGGCCGGTGTTGGAGCCCATCATCACAGCAGCGCCATCCGTGATGATGCCGACAATCTTGTCGGGGTGCACGCCAATCTTGGCTAGATGTTCCTAAATGAGGGCATGAATAGATGCTGCATCGCACAGCTCCAATGTCAGCAAGGCATTGAACTCAGTCACAACATGACTGTTACGCAGAAGGGTTACAGACAAAATCAAGTGTTTCCCTCGAGTGCGGCCAGTCGACTAGTCGCAGCTCAGCCCAATGAAGGGACTCGCGTGAATGTGGCGTAGCTCAGAAGCGTGAAGCCACTTTGACAAAGACTGCATCAGTTGTGCAAAGCCGTACCTGCATGGGGTGTAGTGCTCAGCACGTGAGACACGGCATTTGTAGGCATAATAGAGGAGCAGGCAAAAATATTGACGTCCTAAACTCACGAGGTGTAGTAGGTTATGGAGCTCTTTTTCGAGAAGCCGGGGCATTTCCGCTTTGCTAGGAAGCAAACGAGCTTTGCCCAGGTGTTGATCGGTGCGTCGTACTGGCAGACGAAATGCAGGACCCACAGCAGCACGATGAGTCATCCCTTCTCGAAATCTTGGGCCTGTGGGAAGTCTAATATCTTCTTCTACCTTTGAACGTCTTCCATGGCCTTCCTCTGCGCCTAGATGCATGCCTTGTGCCGTGTTGACCAGCCATGCCTCTTCATTGCCTGTATCTGCACGTCAATCTCGCCCTCCCCATCTCGGCCATACTTGGTGCCCACGACGCCATGATCTGTACACACACTACATTGCAGGAATGGAAGGTCAATTTTAGTACGACAAAAGAGCAACCAAGGAATCCGCTCCTGCCATTTTGACTTGAATTTTTGCAGAGCTTGAAGATACAACAAGTCAGCAGCCTCTCCAAATTACATGTCAGCACTGGCTGACGACTTGATGCACGACTCTAGTGGTGTCGCACTCGTTGGCGTAGTTGACGTAGAACTGCCTGCCAACTGCTCGGCATGCCGTGTTGTTGTTGTCGGAGAGGCTGTAGCATCCACCGGTGGAGCACATGACGGCTTGTGCCTCTGCGAACGAACGGTGGTGTGGGCTGTGATGAACGTGATGACGGTAGGATGTTTGTCGACGGTCGTTGGAAGTCAGAACGACAGCAACGCTTGACGGTATGTTCATTTCGGGGGCGAATTAGGCGCACTGCAATCTACTCCACCACCACCATCACCGGCCGCACCGACCGCCTGCCCCGCGTCGCCTTCTGGGCTGCAAGGGTGAGGCAACACAGGGCCAGCATCACCACCCGGGGTGCGCTGGATCGGCGAGAATCACGAAGCGTCGTGAGCCGGAGAGCGGGGCAGTGGCGACTAGCCAGCGTCGCCACACGCAGGGCTGCGCAGGAGCGTGGACCCACGTGCAGCCTCAGCATAGGGGGTGCAAATGCGCGGAGAGGAGACTGAAGCCACCACCGGCAGGCTGCGTATGCGAGGAGACGAGCAAAGAGACTGTCGCACAGGACTGCGCATGATGGGTGACGCGCGGCCTGTGCTAATCTCGGGGCTCCAAGGCACAATAGACGCAACAGCCGTTCTACGTCGGGGACTGCTAGGCAAGGGAGGGAAAGGGTCGATACGAGTATCATGAGTAGGTTAGGTCCACCCACCCGCTTCTGCCCTGCGTCCTAGCCTACCGCGCCCCGCCGGCCCCTAGTGCGTCCGCCGGCCCCTAGCGTGCCCGCTGTCCCTTACGCCCCGTTGGCCCCTAAACCCTAGACGGCCCCTCGCGCCCAGTTGTAACGGTCAGTCGCAACCTCCGGTTGTGACCCTTTGAGTCTTTCGTCCTTTCGTGTTCTTTCGTCCAGCCTCCTCGTGTAACCTCCGTTGACTCGCATACTCGATACGGCTTCACTCGAGTGTGGTATTACACTTCAGAAACGCTTAAGTCCTTGAGGTATTTCCAACAACGACAAACACTTCTGTGGCATTGGATTTGCCTGCTTGATTAGGATCGCGTTCACTTGATTATGATCACGTTCACCTGCGTCACCCCTCCTGCATTCTACTTCGTCCACCGTCGCAGCTCGACCCCATGCCCTTTAATAGGAACAATGCTACTGCCATTGGACCAATCGATTTTTGGGTTAAATCGTGCAAACCCATCCGGCCTAGCAAAACATCTGTCCAATCGAGTCTAGCCAGCATGCTTCGTGAAAAGATATAAAGTCGCCCCCCTTAGAGCCAGCCACTTCTCTGCCCTCTCCCTGATTGTGAGGCGGACAACCACCTCAAGTAAACACTGAATCAAGGGCAACCCAGATGGCAAGGTTGATCAAATGGTACGAAGCCCTTCCATCCACGAATACTTTTACGAATCCTCGTAAAATACTTAGTAATCCGTTGTTGTTTCTTCCAAATTTACTAGGGTGCGATCAATCACTCAGATCAGAACTACAGTATCACTCAATGAAGGTTGTTGCAGTCAAGAAAGCTACTTCCGCCAATAGTAGGCCTCGTATCTACTGACTTATGGCATTTACCTGCCAACTGGACCCCTGCTACTAACAACTGCATTTTCTCTCTCTCTCTCTCTCTCTCTCTCTCTCTCTCTCTCTCTCTCTCTCTCTCTCTCTCTCTCTCTCTCTCTCTCTCTCTCTTTCTCTCTCTCTCTCTCTCTCAATCTCTCTCTCTCTCTCTCTCTCTCTCTCTCTCTCTCTCTCTCTCAATCTCTCTCTCTCTCTCTCTCTCTCTCTCTCTCTCTCTCTCTCTCTCTCTCTCTCTCTCTCTCTCTCTCTCTCTCTCTCTCTCTCTCTCTCTCTCTCTCTCTCTCTCTCTCTCTCTCCAGGCATTCGCTTTTATAGTGACCGGCCGGTTGCACACAAAACAGCACCCTCTCAGCTAGTTAATAGCTGTGGCGCGCTCTGCAAGTCCTAGAGTGCGTTGTCCACTGCCCTTGGTTTGCTCAACCATTCCATTTGCTCTGTGATGCGAGTAATTTCGACGAAGCTCGTGATGCCACCCATTTTTATTTCCTTGAAAATATCGGTGCGCAGCCCCACGAGGTATTTGTCGACCTTGTCTTCATACTGCATTCTACCCACTTGCTTACACAAGCCAATGAAGCTACTGTTGTAGTCATGGACCGATCCGAGTTTGCGCCAGGTGCAAATCGTTTGTCGCACGACGAAGCTGGCGTGTACTCTGAAACGTCGCTTCCGACTCTCACTCCACATCATTTATTGAATAGTTGTGCCCATTCTTGTCTCAAGTCATCGGCGCAACAAATCACGTTCTTTACTGTAGAGGGTACAATCCCCTCTACAGTAAAGTTCGGTAACCTACCAAGCCTAACAATTATATAACTCAATATATAATTTAACACACCCCCTAGGCTTGGTAGTCACAAGCCCACACACACCCCCACACCCCCTAACCTAGCACCCCCATTCCAGCCACAGTGACAGTGACACTAGCTCGGTCGACCCCACGGTGTGTGAGGCGGCGACGTCGACCGCAGGGGCTGCGGCGGCGACGGCGGCAGCAGCGGCAGTGTCGACAGCGACGGCGGCGGCGGCGGCGGCGTGCGGCTGCGTGGCCCCGACGCAAGTGGCGACAGCGGCGACGGCGGCAGCTTCGACAACAACGGCGGCGGCGGCGGCACCCGTACCTCTCGGTGACGTGGCCAGGCCCCGCGATGGTGGGACGGCCGGCAGGAGTCAGCCGTCGTCTGCGGAAAGGAAGAGGACATAGGGGAAGGAGAGGGGGGGGGGGGGGGGGGGGGGGGCGCCACAGGCTGGCATGCGGGCGGCCGGTCTAGCGGCGCGCGGCTGTCTGCAGCCCGACGACGCTGTCACAGAGCGGCGTCGACGTCGCGGCGGGACGTCGACGCTGCGACGGCAGCACGACGGCCTGACACCACGGCAGCGCGTCGAGACGGCTGCGGCACAACGCGGCCAGCGGCATCACGACGCCGCCAATGCAGCAAAACGCGGCCGCCATGGCCGCGCGAGCGAACGAGGGTGAGGAGTACGCGGCGGAAGCGTGAGGAGGCGGTCCAGCAGGGAGGACCACCTGCTCTGATAGCATGTCTGATAGCTAGTGTCGCTGTCACTGTGGCTGGAATGGGGGTGCTAGGTTAGGGGTTGTGGGGGTGTGTGTGGGCTTGTGACTACCAAGCCTAGGGGGTGTGTTAAATTATATATTGAGTTATATAATTGTTAGGCTTGGTAGGTTACCGAACTTTACTGTAGAGGGTACAATCCCCTCCTTGTATGCCTCTCTCGTTCTATTCCATCTCTCTTTTCTCTCCTCAACTTTTCTCCTTGCTAAACCTCACGCCACTCCATGGCTCCTCCTAGCTAAACCTCATGCCTTTCCTAGCTTCCTAGCTAAGCTAGCCTTCTAACAAGCATGGCGTGGGTGGGTGCCAGGTTGTTGGAATCGGCAGACTCAGTCAAGGTTGCAGGCGATTATAATTAATCACCCTAGCCATGGCTCTGCAGGGAAAACCAGGCCGCTACCCCCCAAGAAAAAACCTACCACAACGGAACTATGCCTGGCCAGAGAAACGGCTTAGCTATGAGTACCGAGTGTTATGATGTGCAAGAAGGAAGAATAGGGAATAGCACTAGCAAGAAAGATTGCACAATTTGCAACATCAAAACCAACCCAACACGAGGATATAGCTAGGCACGAAGCTAACAGGCAAGCGAAGAGCTCGGACATGTGGCGGGAAAATGGGCTCGAAACGCACTTGACAAGCATGAAATGTGAAAAGTGCACGGATGTGCATGCGGCCCGGGACAAGCCACATTGGGTAACACAACTCGGATGGACATGAAAAAAACGTGGGAAACCTATTTATAGCGGTCATGACCATTTGTGGTACTTGGTAACCCGATTATGAAGTCCAGGCTAACCACTTGCCATGGCTTTTCCGGGACAGGAAGAGGTTGTAGTAGTCTTGCTTTCTTCTGCTTACTTCTCTTCATCCGCTGACATGTATCGCATGAGGTGACGAAATTTTTTACGTCGTCTGCCATGTGGGGCCAGTAGTAGTGCTTTGCAATACCAGTGAGCATCTTGTTACTGTCGAAGTGTCCGGCGAACAGAACATCATGGAATTCTTCGAGTAGTAACTAGTGCAAAGGCGGGTAGTTGGGTACCCAGATTTTTGTTGAGCATTTCCAGTACGCGATGTCACTGTCCCACTGTAGCAGGTGATGTTTCTCTGCCAAGGGGATTTCGGGGTCGATGGTGTACCCATATGTGAAGATTCCTTTGAGTAGCGGGTTCATCCCTTCGACCTGGATAGCGGCACTGTATGCAGGCCGGCTGAGAGCGTCTGCTTTATTTTTGTGGCCGGGCTTGTACACAATGTCGTAGTGGAAGTGCGTCATGAGGAAGTCAATCTACCGGACCTGCCACCTGGAAAGGGTTGGGTGTATCTTCAAATATTTCAGGCTGCAGTGGTCGGTGTAGACGGTCATTTTTCGTCCTTTGAGATAACAACTCCACGTTTTGAAGGCGATGACAATAGCAAGGGCCTCTTTGTCATGTATCAGGTAATTTAGTTCTGCTACGCGTAGTTTCTTGTCGAGGTAGGCGATTGGTTGCAGTCCATTCCCCTGGTCTTGCATCAAGACTGCTCCCATTGCCTGGTCACTGGCGTCAGCTTCGATGATGTAATCACGTTAGGGGTCTGGCAAGATGAGTACAGCTGCGGATGTGAGTGTCTGTTTTAGCTGCTCCATGGCTTCCTGATGTTTTGTCTCCCATTGATAGGTTGTGTTCTTCTTCAACAGATTCGTAAGTAGTGCGGCAATTTTGCGTACTGTGGCACAAATCTGTTATAATAGTTGGCGAAGCCTAGGAACTGCTGCAACTCCTTCACGTTCTTGGGTGTCTTCCACGTGCGTATGGCTTCGATCTTCTTGGGGTCGATGTAAACTCATTGAGCGCTCACCATGTGTCTGAGGAATTGGACCTTCTCGAGGGCGAATTCGCTCTTGGATAATTTTACATAAAATCGTTCCCGTCGAAGAATGTCGAAGACGCGTCATAGGTGTTCGACGCGTTGCTTCATGTTGCGCGAGTAGATGAGGATGTCATCCAGGTACACCACCACGCACTCGTCCAGTAATGGTCATAGGATGTGGTTCATCTCGGCTTGGAAGGTTGCCGGTGCGTTGGTGAGTTCGAACGGCATGACCAGATACTTGTACGGCCCATACCGAGTTCGAAAGGCGGTTTTGTGGATGTAATTTTCCGCCATTCTTATTTGCCAGTATCTGGACCACAGATCCAGTTTGGAAAATACTGTGGCTCCCCGAAGCTGGTCAAGCAGGTCATCGATTCGTAGAATCGGGTATTTATTCTTGATGGTCTGCTTATTGAGAGCTCGGTAATCGATGCACATGCGCAAGCTTCCGTCCGGTTTCAGTGTGAAGAGTACTGGGGCACCGTATGGTGAAGTGGAGGGACACATAAATCTTTATTCGAGGAGATACTCGATCAGCTTTTTTATGTCGGCAAGCTCTGTAGGGCTGAGCTGATATGGTGCTTTGAAGGTCGACTTCGAACGTGGTTCCTCCATGTTTTCGTGTTGGTGCGTTCGGTATGGTGGTAGCTCGTTCGGAAGGTCTTCGAGAAGAATGTCTTGGAACTCCTTCACTAAATCCTTGATTCTTTTGGGAGGTTCCGAGGCTTTCTCTTCCACATCTGTTGCTTTCGCCAGGAACCCAGTGTCAGTTTTCTTATGTCCTTCTCGAATCTGGCGAGTGTCTCCACTGGGATTTCTCCTGTGTCGTCCCAGCCTAGTAGTTGGACTCTCCTTTCGTTCTTGTAGATGCTTGTACTGCGGTTGACCCAGTTGATCTTGCGGTTGATTTTTTTTAGGAAGTCTTGCCCAAATATCAGGTCAAGCCCTTTTATGTTGGTGATGGGGAGGGTAGGTCTCCAGCGCAATTGTCCGATGTGTAGGTCTTCGTCGTAGATTGGTAACTTGCTGCCGTCCACCATCGTTGCAGAGAATGCTGAAGGCTTGCACTCTTCCCGAAGTCGGTTGATTGCTGCCTTGTCACATACGGTGTGTGACGCTTCGATGTGCACAAGTGCTTAAAGGCATCGCCCTTTGCAGAAGACCTTGAGCACGAGGGGCAGGCGTTGCTCGGAGTACCCAATATTCCATACACACCTTGTTACAATATTGCTTCCTACTCCAGAGCTGGCAGCTGGCCGAGGCTGCGTGGAGAAAGGCTCTCCTCCAAGGCCAGGATTTTCATTGACGACTGTGTGTGTCGTCGGTACCGAAGTTTCTGAGCTGGATGCATCCGAAGGAGGAGTTCGGAGCCTTTGCAGCTTTTTGTAGACCCCCAGCTTCATCTTGAGCTGCTTCAGCTCCACCGATGTCTTCCCTGGGGAGCGGCTAGTCACTGTGGGCTGGTGTCGGGAGAGGACGTTGACTCCGTGGAAAGGTCGACTTCTTTCCACACTCCTTAATTTTTCCCCAAGTTCTTTGGTACCGATACAATCTCCACATTTTTCAGCTTCTTCTGGAGTCCCTACCGAAATTTCTGGTCCACACATTACTAGCCCCTCAAGAATCATAAGTTTTCATTAAAGCATCTTTATAACATAACTTTAACGAATCCTGATAATTTATTGGGTCTTCAAGGAGTTTCCCCGTCTCAGCAAAGTCTTCTTTCGCCGAGTTAGATTTTTTCTCAGCGATTTTCCCAGGCGAAGACTGGTCGTGGGGTGGAGATTTTCCCCCATCATTTCCTCCTGCTCGCGTCGTATCAGTTTTGTCGAAGTTGATTTTTATGGAATCCCGCGGCCGCTTTCGGGTCCTTTCTTT